CCATAGTTATGATAAATGCTCAGCTGTGGGAAAAGAATGTAGAAATTGTCACAAGAAAAATCATTTTATGAGTCAATGTAGAACCCGAGACAAAGAATTGCCAAAATATCCAAGAAAACATCGAGTCGATGCGGTAGAGAACAACGGTAAACAAGAGAGGGACGCTGAACCAAGTAGTGAGTCTAGTGACGAACATGAATTCTATGTTTATTCGACGGAAACGACCGCTGACAAGTCAGATCCATGGATACTTCCATTGGAAGTAAACAACAGTATAGTTACTTTTAAAGTAGACACTGGCTCGGATGTCAATGTAATGAGTTATAACGAGTTTAAGACACTTCAGAACAGACCGAAGTTGAAACAATCGAAGACTAAACTGAAAGCATACAACGGGGGAGATGTTTAAGTGCAAGGTCAGTGTATTTTATCCTTAAAGTTGAAAGAGAAATCTGTGACAGCGCTGTTTTTAATCAGCCCTGATGATGTTAAACCTATTTTGGGAAGGGAACTTTCTGAAAAGTTAAATCTTGTGAAAAGAACATTTTCTATTGAGCAGTCGAACAGTTCGAATAATTTAACGGGCAGCAGGTATAACAATGCAAAACTAAGTGAGAAATATGCTGACTGTTTCGAAGGACTAGGCTGTTTACCTCATACTGTAAAAATCGAGTTAAGAGATGATGCAACACCAGTTGTTGAGCCTTGTCGCAAAATACCCTTCGCGCAGTATGATAAGCTCAAAGACGAACTACGAATGGAAGCTATGGGCGTGATTGAAAAGATCGAAGAACCGACTGAGTGGGTTAACTCATTTGTGCCAGTTACTAAGCCAAATGGAAACTTACGTGTTTGCTTAGACCCAAGAAACTTGAACAAATCAATAAAACGTGAACATTTCAAGTTACCTACACGAGACGAAGTTACAGCTCAATTTGCAAATGCCAAGGTATTTACTAAACTAGATGCCTCAAAAGGGTTTTGGCAAATGAAGCTTGAAGACGAAAGTACTAATTTATGTACTTTCAATACCCCTTTTGGGAGATACAAATACTTACGACTCCCATTTGGAATCTCCAGTGCCCCAGAGATTTATCATAGAACCATTAACTCTTTGTTTAGTCACTTAGAAGGCGTAGATACTTCTATGGATGACATCATCATTTTTGGATCAACCCCACAAGAACATGATCAAAGGTTGGAAGCAACAATGAAAGTTGTGAAAGAAGTTGGACTGAAAGCAAAATGCGAAGTGGGTGTACAACAGTTGACTTACCTGGGGGACACAATTTCGGCAGAGGGATTGAAACCTGATCAGAGAAAAGTTGAGGCAATCCAGAACATGGAAAGACCTGGAAACAAAACAGACCTCCAGAGATTCCTAGGTATGATTAATTATCTTGCTAGATACATACCAGATTTATCCACTAGAACAATGCCATTAAGAAAGTTGTTAGACCAGAAGGTGTTGTGGATGTGGAACAATGAGCAAGAGAAAGCATGGAAAGAATTGAAGGAACTTGTTTCAAGCGAACCTGTGTTAAAGTTCTACGATCCAAACAAGCCCATAAAGATTTCAACCGATGCAAGTAGGAGTGGCTTAGGCGCAGTACTGCAGCAGCTACATGGTGAAAATTGGCTTCCAGTAGCATATGCATCGAGGTCAGTTACAGATTGTGAGAGCAGATATGTAACAATTGAACTTGAGACACTAGGCATGACATTTTCTTGTGAAAGATTCCACCAGTACATATACGGTCAAGAATTCGAAATAGAGACAGACCACAAACCATTAGTGTCAATTTTCAAAAAATCACTAATTGATAGCCCGCCACGAATACAGCGGTTGAGATTACGATTACAGAAATATGATTTCAAACTTTCGTACGTTCCTGGTAAGTGGATGCATACACCAGATGCATTATCCAGAGCACCCCTGAAGCTGGCAAGTAAGTCAGACCACCATATTGAAGCTCATGTTGATGGAATCATAGCAGTGCTACAAGTCACAGATGAGAAACTAAAAGAGATTAAAGAGGAAACCTAAAAGGACAAAACAATGATATCACTTCAAAATACTATCATGCAAGGTTGGCCCAATGAAAGATCCAATACTTCTAACGAACTTCATGCTTATTGGAACATTAGAGATGAATTATCGGTACACCAAGGGCTGATACTAAAAGGTTCAAAGATTGTAATTCCAACAAAGATGAGAAAAGAAATCCTAATTAAAATTCATGCTGGTCATCAGGGCAGAGAGAAATGCAAGCAACGTGCCAGACAAGTAGTATTCTGGCCTGGAATCAACAGTGACATTGATAACATAGTTGAGAGTTGCGAGACATGCCAACATCACCAGCATAACCACCAGAAAGAACCATTAAAGCCATATCGAGTTCCAACCCGTCCCTGGCAAGTGGTCGGCAAAGATCTCTGTGAAATCAACAAGAAAGAATATCTTGTCATTGTGGATGCATATTCCAGCTATCCGGAAGTGATACCTCTATCAAGCCAAAGCAGTAAAGCTGTGATTAAAGGTATGAAAGTAACTTTTGCCAGACATGGCATTCCTGATATTGTTCATAGTGACAATGGACCATGTTACAGTAGTCAAGAGTTTGCTGATTTCAAGACCAAATGGGGATTTAAACATGTTACCAGTAGTCCTCATTTCCCATCCTCTAATGGGTTAGTCGAGAAGGCTGTCCAGACAGTAAAGAATATTATAAGCAAATCAATTGAAAGCGGAACAGACCCGTATCTCGGACTGTTAGCATATAGATCAACACCACTTGACAATCATAAGTCACCAGCTGAGTTACTGATGGGAAGAACACTTAAAACAGATCTTCCAGTTGTAGAAAACCAGCTCAATGTTAAAGATTCCAAAGCAGTTGTTGCATGGAAAACAAAGAAAAAAGAAATCCAGAAGGCTTATCATGACAGAGAAGCCAAACCTTTGCCACCACTGAAGCAAGGTGAGATGGTGAGAATCTACGACCAAAAGAAGTTGATGTGGGGAGAAAAGGCAACGGTGAAAGAAAAGATTGCACCTCGTTCGTACATAGTGGAAACCAAGGACAAAGTTCAATACAGACGAAACAGGAAACAATTGAGAAAAATTACCTCGGAAGTCGAAGACGGAAATGATAAAAATGTAAGCACAACGAAACGAGCGGAGAAACAAGTCGAGACAAAGTCGTTACCCTCGAATGAAGTATCAAGAGACAGATCAAGATATGGTAGAACAATAAAGAAACCTCGTAGATATGAACAATACACTTAACAGATAAGTAAAGCATGTTAGGACTTAAGAAGAACTTAGTAGTTGTTATAAGACTTCAATTTTAAAGTTGACTTTATCTCATGAGAGTAGACGGTGTTCAAACTGTTGATTAATATTAACTTTCTTATTGTATGCGGAATGTAAGGATATCACATGACTCATGCATGCGAGCACATGGGACGTCGAAGGAACGTTGAACAAGGACTGAGTATAGTTGAGTTATCAAGTAAAGTTAAATGTAGTTTATACGGCATAAGATAAATAAAATATATAACATTACAGCCATTATATTTATCAAATTTAAGACTAGAAAATACATGCATGCAGCAACCCTCACCTTACCGAGAAAAACATCATGTTTTCCAAACATGAAGTATTTAAAGCAATATATCGTCATGGTGACACGATAATTTTTGCTGAGGAGCGAAGTGAAGCTGCACATCAATCTTGATATTACTCGTATAGCGTATCGAGATTATCAAAAATTTTGAATGTCAGATTTTTAAAACAATGAAATAATAACGTTTTACAAGTTATTATGTTTACATTAAAATTTACAGCTCAACCTGGTCCAAACACTATCTCATCACGGAGATGGCATTTTCTAAACTTGTAGGCGACAAGGAATTCGTGGTTTTTTGCCGAATGTTGTAGCTGCCAATTGCAAAATGTTTAGATAGATACGTATACGTTAAAAAACATGAGACAAAGGCAAATTATAGGAGCTTGTAATTAAAAAGGTCCTAGGGGTAACTTCTAGTGAATAACTGGATAATTTTGCTGCAAGTAATCGTCTGCATGTAAGACTTTGTACACATTGTTTTGGCGATTATATGGAACATAACAAACTTGAGGCTCCCATATTTTTTTTTGTGGCTGTAATTAATTGTTGCAGAAGCTTATTTATTCTCCAATAATAAGCTTCGAAATCTGCTGACTACGAAACTTTGTGAGAGCCTCAAATTCGCCTTATGTGAAAGCCTCTAACTGTCTAAGGTCTGCACACGAGTCCCTGAGGAAAAACTACGCAGATTCGGAAGAGGTTCCTAACATGCCATAGTTTTTAACGCCACCTCCTTTTATTTACCTGCGACTCAAATCCACACTGGGACACAAATGGCAATGACGTCGAACAGTGTTAGACCATGAGGAGAAGGGAGAGAAGGTCATCTAGCGAGGAAACTTGTGAGACCAACGTTTTTTAGTCAAGTTGGGGGCGCTAATTTAAAAAATGCATGTTATACGGAGGCAGGGGGCGTTTGCCTACAATTTCTAACTGAAACCTCTGCAAAGTCCACGATTATTTTTTAATAAAATTTGCATTAGCTATTAAATAAATATGCAAATAAATGTGCATAATTAACTAGCCAACGATTTAACCAATCACAATCCAGCTTTAACTAGATTTGTTAACTTTTGGTCAGTATATCATCCCTAGCAACACATAGCAACCATGGAAAATCAATATATTTTCGGTGTAAAAATGGTTTTAATAAGGTAATTTTACCTTTTTAAGACTCTTTTTGGGTCCATTAAAGCCTTCTGCGGTGTAATTTACACGAATTTTAATTGTCTAGTAAACCTTAGGAGTTCATAATTAAGTGAAAACATGTTATGCATGCTGTAAACTGACAAACAAAGTTGACGATCGGTATGGATCCTTGTTTATGTATTATTCATTACGATTTTTGTATTGTCGACTTCTAATAAAATGACCAAGCTGAGTGAAGTGTCGTTTAAAACTTTAACTGAATGTAAGAAAATACGCGAGTCGGTTGGTGGAGAAAATCATCACGAGGATCAGTGCAAAGGTATTCCGGCAGTTTTGAAGGAAGAACCATTTTACTATCACAGGGAATGTTACCACAAATTTACCTATGCCCGAGCATTGCTCAAAAGAAAATTGGAGAACGAAAATGAAACCAAGAAAAACAACAAACGACCTTCGAGAGCAAGTCCTTCGACAGGTGATGCAAGCTCAAGCGGGATATTTCCCAAACAATGCATGATATGCTCAAAAGAAAGAATAAAAGTTGGTGGAAAATTTCAATTTCCAACAAAGATTCTCACTAAATCGGCTGAAGAGACACTGGAAAAAGCTGCTCATTTAAGAAACGATTAAAAACCATGATTACTGCAGTCACAGGTATTGACTTGATAGCAAGGGAGTTTAGTAAACATCAAACATGCTATATCAACTACACACGAATTTCGAGAGAAACAAAAACAAAAAATCCAGCTTCTTCGAAAAGAGATACTACCGGTGACTTTCAATCGGTTTGCAACGTGATTGAAAAGCTTGTGATAGGGCAACAAAAATGTGTTTCGATGGAAATCATAGTTTCGGTTTATTGAATAAATGAGGGCAGCAGAGGTACGGGTTAAAACAGCGATTGTTAAATAAATATAAAGAATAAATGTTGTTTATTTCGTACGAGCAACATTATCTACAAGTCGTAATAAGCAAGGATTGTTTGGAGAAACAAAATTTAACAAATATTTTAGAGATGTCCCGATGCAATACAGTCAAGCGAGCTGCAGCTATTCTTCATGAGGATGTAACAAATTTATTCAATGAAGCAACAACATTGCCATGGGCCCCAACCATAGAGAGTAAAGCCAGATGCAAGGAATCCCCCAGCAATGTTTTACAACCATTTGTTATCTACAGCCAATAGTCATCACATTGCAAGTTCAACAACCGAACGTTATGTAGCTTTTTTAAGTCAAGATATGATGCACGCAGTCTCGCATGGAGATTTCGTGAGACTCAAGCATGCAACGTTGAGACTTGGACTACGCAGCCTCACTGGACAGAAATGACACTGCATGGTAGTTCTGTCAAGACTTGGCCATTCTATCAATTACGATCGAATTTACGAAATCGAAACCGCCCAAGCTGAACTAGCCCAGCATTTCCAGTCTATGTCCCTTTATTTGCCTGTAATGCCCGTAGATGCAGAAAACAAATTGACAACAAATTTCTGGTGGGACAATTTTGACAGAAATGTTGAAACTGCGAGTGGAGCGGGCAGGGTCGATCCACAATACACCGGGTATAGTGTTCCAAGAAGAATCCGAATCCACAATCACCCGTGATACCACTGTCAGCATAACGAGGTCTAAGCGACGATCACTTAAAAATCAAGAAGAAGAATATTTCCCTTTTTTACAATCAACCCGAAGGTCGAGCCTCCATCGTTTGCTGAAAATAACGCCGTTCATGTTGAGCAAGAAACGGAAGAAAAGTGTAACGATTTATTATTACTTCGGAAGTTAGCGCGTTATTTGTATTCAGCTGATCAGTTGAATCCACGCTTTGTTTAATGGGTGATTTTGCTGTTTAAGAAGATTACTAGAAAAGAAACAAAGATGACTTAAAAATCAAGAAGAAGAATATTTTCCTTTTTCTTCAATCAATCCGAACGTCGAGCCTCCCTCGCTTGCTGAAAATAACGCCGTTCATGTTGAGCAAGAGACTGAAGAAAAGTGTAACAATTTATTATTACTCTGGAAGTCAGCGCGTTATCAGTTGAATCCACGCTTTGTTGGATGGGTGATTTTGCTGTTTAAGAAGATTGCTAGGAAAGAAACAAAGATGACTTATTTGCCTCCAATCCAAAAGCCAATAACTGATTATGCAGCATTTTTTTTAGATGTTCTACAAATCAAGAGAACTTGCAAAACAAGCGAAGATGGCGTGCACGCATATAACACTTGATGTAGGGGCAGCTATTAAGGCTAACCGTGTAATTTGGAACAATCCCCAGGCATGGTGTAATATAATTATCCATTTGGGAGATTTCCGTGCCATGATGGCATTTTTGGCGTTATTGGCTGCTGTTTTGTTGGTGGGAGCGGCTTTGAAGATATCATCTTCCAATCGGGTCTGTGTAGTTCTGGAAGTATCGCGGGTTTGCTGTCCGGCAAACATTATAATCGTAACTGGCTATTACTTGAAGCGTTCTCAGAACCGTTGGAACGTCTTTTTGAAGAGCACGTATATACCAGGAATTCCGGAAGTGTTGGTAAAATTTCAGGGCTGTCTGCAGAGGAGAAGGTCGCGCTCATCGGGCTTCAGGCATTTTCCGGAAATGACTATGTATTCTGCATTCTGGAAAGCAATGCTGAAGCGCCGCGAATTCTTGGAAGCATTCGATCACCTGAGAAAGGAGCTAGAGGTCACACATGATCTCGTTAAGGCACTCGAAAGATTCGTATGTTTTCTTTATGGCTTCCTGAAGAATGAAGAAGTGAATGCTGTGCGCAGATCTATCTTCTGGGACAAATTTAAGAAAAAGAAGCAAGTTGGTGGATCTTAGCTTTCTGCCACCATGTCGTGATAATCTTCAGTTGCATGTCATGCGCTCTAACTATATTGGCTACATATTCTGCAACACTGACAGGCTTTTTATGGATATTGATAATCCTACAAACGACGGATGGGGCGAACAAATGAAGGTTGTCTGCAGTCTACTACCCACCGCACGTATACTACCCATCAGAGTTTTGTTTGACACACATAGTGATGATGATTCTGGAAATGGTCATGGCGTTGTTAATGACATTACCGATTTAGACGATGAGGATCTGTCGTCATTTGAATACATTTAGATGATGATTTGGAGGACATGAGCCAGTTTGGTTGAACTACGTTTATCTGGCATTATTTTCTCCTGCTGTTTAAAAACGTTAAAGTTACAGAACAGGTAAAAACATGCCTACTTTTATTGACCGCATGCGTTTTATTGTATTTGTTATCAAGAGTCCTTATTGTTTAGGAACATCAGAATGTATCAATGAAACAATATTTTTCTAGATTATGCAGTATATCCCCAAAATGTGAACCGTTTGAAATTTAAATTAGCTACACTTTCAATCAACCTATTACGCTCTTCATACAATTGATCGCTTCTAAGTCACATGAGAAATTAAGAATGACTTCTAACACTTAAGGTCGTAGGATAAACAATTTCAATTCCAAAGCGTTCACTTTTTATGGGACACCCTGTGTATATTATGTTTGTTTATATTTGTTATCATTATGTATATTTCAACATTTAACGAAATCGAAGTTTCAGTTCGAAATTGTAGGCAAATTTCCCCCTGGACGCCCGTATCACATGCATTTTTGAAATCAGCGTCCCCAAATTGACTAAAAAACGTTGGTCTCACAAATTTCCGCGCTGGATGACCTTCTCCCTCTTCTCCTCCTGGTCTATGTGGTTCAAGTATAAAAGCGACAATGACTCAAATCATCTTATGGTAGAAGGGCGTGATTGAGATAATACGCATCCAGTCTGTGTTACTGAACGATGTAAGTCACAAAAAGGGAGATCTAAAGGGGAGACAAATCCCATCTGCATACGAGAACAAGCAAATATTAAAAATAATGCCAGGATATTACCTTAGTAATGTCAAAAATAAACTTGACTAAATTTGTGTATACGTTTAAAACGAAATATACCATTCTTACACGGTTTCGCTTATCCTTCTTTTCTACCCTAATTGTGAAATTAAGTACAGTAATTAGCCGGTGTAAAGTATAGAAAATATTTCATTATGCGCCTACCTTTAAACGATGTAAACTATTAGCTTCTCTGCGTTTTGTAAAGTGTGACATTCATATCTGACGCTGTTCATTTTTCATTGCAGGCAGCAAAGAATCTGTTATCTCCATATTTTAAAATTTAAAACTTAAAATTTTTTCCACTCCAACATTTTTCGTGGCCCATTAAGGTCCCTCACTTCTACTTTAATTTGGCCAGGCTATTATACCCTCTCCATCCATTAATACCCTGCTGGCTATGGCGTACACTTACCAAGCCATAGTGTGGGAAATAATGGCATCATAACACCGGTGTTTTGTAAAGAATCGGTTACTGCTTATACAGTGTAGATATTAATCAACATTTAACTCATTTCTAACTTGGTGTGTTGTTGTACCAATAGCACTGCCTCGTACCCAGGCGCTTTAATTAAATAATTACAATACAAGAAGTATTCATGTAGGCAGTCGACGCGCGAAGGGGCTGTTGGGAAGAGTACGTGCTGGAGAGCGCCTTGGCAGTTCTTGTATACTGTCATGGCGGGAAAACATGGAATTTAACACAAAAAGTTACCATATCATCATATACTCTGTGTGTAAAACCTTACTTTGTGGTGAAGAGTTGAATTGAACGTCATTGGCAAACAATAATAAATTTATAGATGTTCGATGACATTCAAAATGCGCGAAAATTATATGAGCAAATAACATGGCAAGTTAACCGTGCGAATATTTCGAATATGTCATTCGGTATTACATCCCTTGTAGAATCCGACATATTTATAACCTATTTTATACCTATTTTTCTCTATTTAGCCCTATTTTATCCGTATTATTTCAAAAATATGACTATTTTATTACTATTTATCAAATTTCATAAAATATGACTATTTACACTCTATTTAAAATATATATCATTTACTTTTTTCATGAAAATAGCTTTGAAATAGCTATTCAAATCCTATTTGAAAGAGTAATTGACGGAATCTGGCTATAAAGTAGCTTTTAAATAGCTATTTAATTCCTATTGATGACAAACATAACGAGTCAGTTAAAATAGTTTTAAATCGCTATTTTTAAACTATTTTTGCTTATCTTTTTTGGAGCCATTCTTAAAAAAGTTATTAAATAGCAAAATAAATCGATCTTAAACAGATATTTAATTCCTATTCATAGAAATAGAAAGTTGTGCCGAACTTTGTTCAAAAAACTATAAAATATCTATTTTTAAACTATGTTTGCTTTTATTTTTGGAGCTATTATTGTTAAAATAGTTATTAAATAGGAAAATAAATAGATCTTAAATAGCTATTTAATTCCTATTCATAGAAAGTTGTGGCGAACTTTGTTCCAAATAGCTATTAAATAGCTATTTTTAAACTATGTTAACTTTTATTTTTTGAATTTTTAGAGCCATTCTTAAAATAGTTATTAAATGGCGAAATAAATAGATCTTAAATAGCTATTTAATTCCTATTCATAGAAAGTTGTGGCGAACTTTGTTCAAAATAGCTATTAAATAGCTATTTTTAAACTATATTTACTTTTATTTTTAGAGCTATTGTTAAAATAGC